CAGGGCGCCTGTCACGTGTCCCTGGAGCACTCAGCCTTGTGATAATTTTACCACTAAAGCCCACAGATGCCGCTAACACAGCATCTCCCACCAGCAACACAAGGGGTGCCCGTGAGCTCTTCTAACTTCTGGTGAGCCGTGCTTGAAAAAGTCTAAAGAGAGAGGGAGGAGTTGATGTGAACTCCACATTGTCTTTAACCACCCAGCCTATCCGGAATGCCAGTGTTTCCACATGTTATCAATATATATACAGAGTTATTCTGAGATTCTTCAAGTTCACTATCTCATGTGAAGCCATTGAAACCTTAGCTCTGTTGGGACCAGCCCCTTATCAAGGGCGTCTGGCCTCACGTGGCTGCGGCCACCCTGCCGCACGGGACAGCTCCGTGTGTATCTGTCACAGCCTTCTGGGAATATTCCTCCCAGATCTAGAGTCTCCACTGACTCACCAGCCCCAGCCCCATCAGGGGCCCTTGTCTCCTGCCTCACATTCTGCCCTCCCCCCACACCCGCTGTCCTAGTTCCTCTGGCCCCCAGAACAGGCCCATTGCCAGCTGCACCCCAGCACCTAGCACAGCACCCGGCATGATTTCTTCAACCAGAGAAATGGAGCAAGCCCAGTGTGTCTCTGGCCCAAGGTGCGCTTGATTCAGACTGTGGCCTTTTCAGTCACTTGCTATACATCTGAAAGCTGGACAATCAAGGGACAAGGACAGTTGGAGATCCCGTGGACTGCCAAAAAAACCAGATCCGTCGTGGAGGAAGTGCAAACAGGGTGCTCTTGGAGGCAAGGATGGAAAAACTTTTTCTCACATATTTTGGGCATGTTGTCAGGAGGGTCCCACCCTTAGAAAGGGACATCAGGAAAGATGGAAGATCAGAGAAAGAGAGGAAGACATTCAACAAGACAGACTGACACGGTGGCTGTCACACTGGGTTCAGAGAACGTTGAGGATGGCCCAGAATGGAGCAGGGCTGAGTTCTGTGGTTCACTGGGTTGCCACAGGCAGGGCTGGGGCCCACTTAACAGCACTTCATAAAAGCAGCCATCTGCCTCGGTTGGTCAGAGGGTCAGCGCACGAGAGGAAGGCCCTCAATGAGAGGAGCTGACACAATGACACCGCCCTGGGCGCAAGAAGTATCAGGACAAGGATGGTGCAGGACCGGACAGGGTCGAGCACAGCTATGCGTCAACTCGACTCCTAACAACAGCCACCACCACCCAAACATGAGCTGTGGCCTTCAGTGCCTCTCTTCATCCGGGGCCTCTCGGTGTAGTGCGTATCCCTACAGTTGCACTGCTGACCCAAAGGGGTGCCTCTCTGGTGGTTCAAATCCCCCTGCAGCTCCAAGGGAGAAAAATGGGCTTCCTTCTCCAGTGCAATTCAGGGTCAGCTTTGAGTCGATCCCGACTCGACGGCAACGAACATGTTTTCAATGTGTATCCACATCAAACTTGATTTCTCCCCCCCCATGCCAGATAGCATCACTGTGTGGGTAAACATTTTCTTGTCTGTCCGTCCGACCGTCCATCCCATCCATCCATCCATCCATCCATCCATCCATCATCCATCCATCCATCCATCCATCCATCCATCCATCCATCCATCCATCCATCCATCCATGAGTTGTTTCCACTTTGAGCTTCTGCAAACAGTGCTGCTGTGAATGACCACGCCCTGCCCAGGCTTTTTTTGTCCCCGTGGCTGTTTTCAAGTCTTCAGGGCAGGTCAAGCAGGAGTGGAATTACTGGCACTTGCACCTGTGACCTGCTGAGTACAAGCCGGCTGCGCGCACGCCCTCGGCTGAAGGAGCAGCCTCCTCACCAGCATGCGGGCTGAGGGATGAGATCCTGCCGCCTCCTCACACCCACCTATCCTGACCTTGTTGGAAGGTATTCAGCACAGAAGGGATGTGCCCGGACTTGGCTTACCTGGAGCCGGTGGTGCTGTGTTGATAAGCCTGTCTTGATGCTTTGAGGCCTGAATTAATAATCTTTTCTTAGGTGGTTGTTTACCGCTCTGGAGTCTAATAGGACTTCAAGTGACCCTAAGAACCACAGATCTAAACCTGCCGTATCATGTACCATCCTCATCATCTCCACACCATTGCTGCAGTCACTGTGTCAGTCTGTCTTGTTGAGGGTCTCCCCCATTAATCACCCACTTTCCCCCGTATCATGTCCTTCCCCAAGGACTGGCCCCTCTTTGCTGGTGGCTGGCCTGTTCTGCCTTTGGCTGCTTTCCCTCGTGACCAGGCCTTTCTGCCTCTTCCTAGGTCATCATCCTGGTCACCAAGAATGACTTCAGTCAGTGAGTTCAGCACAAACGTGCAGCATCCTTTCAACTCCGCCTCCTTTCTTGTGGGGTGACAGCGTTCCGCCGCCACGGCCTTGGGCCTTCTTGGGTAAGCACCACGCACACTGGGACCTTGGAGACCGAGTGATCAACATACCCTGGGGGAGGGAGGGCCAATGTCAAGGCCAGGGCAGACCCCAGAGTCCAGTGGCTATTGTCCAAGGACTGCAAACATCAGGGAACAGAAAACAACCCCACATCAGGGCTGCTGGAAGCCTTAACGAACTCAGCGATAGTTTGTTAATGACTTGTCGGGTTGATTAATTTTTAATGAGCTGATCCGTTAGTAAATTGGTTGCCAATGATGAAGGAAGAGGAGCGGTAAGCTCTAGTCTTTAGTGAGGCCTTGCTGTGGAGTAGGTATCATCCACAATGTCGCCATGAGTCACAGTGAACTGAACAGCACCTAACAACAACAAGGCATTGTCTCAGGTGCTACGGAGGAGGTAAGCAGGTGGACAATACTGAACCAGATAGCCTAAGCCATGGGGCAATTTGACGTGGAAGGCCTGGGGGGCACGGGCCCCTGAGGGACAAGAGTGTCTTGTCCATCCCACCCACCCCTCAAGGCTCAGTCACCAGGATGCCTCTCTCCTGCTCTCTCAGGAATTTTTATCTTTCATCTCGAAATGAGGAGAGGGAGTGGTCTTTAGGGTGGGACCCCACGCTCTGGGGAGTGGAGTGGGCAGGCCTATCGGGACCTCTAAGGACAGCCGGAAAGCACTTACCTGGAGCCCATTATACTGGAAAGCAGACAGCATGACTGACTTCACTTCTATGTGCCTTGACTTTCTTATCTGTAAAATGGCTCCATAACAAGTAAAGCACATAGCACAGGCCCCAGTCAAGAATGCTGTTCTTGACCAAAACAAGAATATGTTTGTTCAAGTTAAAAATGTTTCGCCATCTTTAGCCTGGGAACATGGAAGCTGGAGGGAGAGCCTGACTAAGGCTTTGGCGTTGGGAGGGGACAGAGCACAGAGAAGCAAGGTCTGTGCCACATGCCAGGTGGGGTGTCGTGATAAGAGGGACTGTTTTACAGAGGATGCTGGGGGAGGCTTGCTGATAATCACTGAAGGCTTGAGCAGGGCAGAGAGGAGTGTGGAGGGCGCAGGGACCCTGAGGGTGCGAGGCTGCTCCAGTACAGTGAGGTGGGAAATGAGTGTCAGTACACGTGTGTCCATGTGCACTGTGTGTGCATGTATGCATATGTGTCTGTGATGTGTGCACGTCTGTATATGCATCACCATGTGGCAGGTGCATGAATGTGGATGTGTGTGCATCCGCAGGTGGGCTTGTACACAGGTACAATGTGTGAGTGTGGACATGCACACACTCTGCATGTGCACTTACGGTGTGTGCATATCTGCGTGTCCCTGCATGTGTATGAGTGTATACAGGTGTGCTCTGTGCGGGCATAATGTGTGTTCAAGTATGTATACATGCATATCTCTGTGTGAGTGTGTACTTGTGTTTGTTGTTGTGTGCCACTGAGTCGGAACGACCCCATTGTTCATGCTCCACCAGCGTGTACCCAGGAGAGTGCTCATCTTTCTCCTGTGAAGCAGCTGGTGGATTTGAACCACATGTCTTTGGGTTGGCAGTGCAGCTCCTTACCACTAGGCCACCAGAGCTCCCGTGTGTGTGTGTGTGTGTGTGTGTGTGTGTGTGTGTGTGTGTGTGAATGCATATCCTGTGTGGACCTTCAACAAGGTCTGGCCCGATGGCCACAGCAGTGGGTTCGCGCACAGCCCAGGACATGAGGATGGTGCAGGACTGGGTGGTGGTTTGGTTTTGTTGTCTGCAGGTGCTTAGAGTCTACTGGACAGCACTTAACGACAACATACTGTGTGCACGTGTGCACATGCATATGGTGTGGGAGTGTAAATGTATGCGCACGATGACGCACAAGCGTGTTGCGTGTGCACGAGTGCACACTTATGCACACGCCTGTGTAGCCGCACCTTCTGCATGCACGAGTGTGTAGTGTAAGCAGGTGAGCGTGTGTGCATTTGCGTACCTGCGTGTACGCATTGCACTCAGTGTGTGTGTGTGTGTGTGTGTGTGTGTGTGTGTGTGTGTGTGTGTGCGCGCCTGGGTGCAGTGTTAGACCATCTGGAGGGCTAAGGCCTTGCTGAGGCCGTGGGATGGGGAAACCCCTGCAAGTGAGCAAGGATATTGTTGACGTCAGGACGGAGGAGGGGAAAGAGTGGGGAGGGAGGGGACCAGAAGGGTAAATAAGAGATTGCTGAGAGGCGGAAGAGGGGCTGGAGAGGGAGGGAGGCAGGGGAAGGAGAAAGTGGGAGTTGGGGGGAGGAGGCGCAGACCAGGCAGGGGTCGAGAGAGGATCCCAAGTCCAGGCTGGGGGTGGAGAGAGGTGGACTGAGGCCCCGCCCTCCCACCCCGTCCGATCGAGACCCCGCCCCCAGGCCCGCCCCATCCCCGCCCCGGTCCGAATCCGTGCGCCCGGGGGGCTCCGGGGCGGCGTGGCCACCTGGTGGTGCCATTTAAAGCCTCTGGCCACCTGCCGGACCGTTCCTCCGGGTGTCGCCGTCCCAGCCCGCAGCTCGGCTCGCGTCCGGAGTCCCCGCCTCCGTCACTCAATCGCCTGGTCCCCGCAGCCCCGGAGCCGAGCACGCAGACATGGGCAGCCGCGCCGGAGCGCGCCGGGCGGCCGCGGCACTGGGCATCACCGGGCTGCTGTGCGCCGGGCTGGGCGCCGTCATGATCGCCCTGCTCCCTAAGCTCATCCACCAGCAGGTCCTCAAGGTGCGTGCTCGCCCGGGCGGGAACCCCACAGGGCTCGGGGCCTCAGTCACCGGCCGGGGCGCCCCGGCACTCCCTTCACCTCGATCCCCAGGCGGGCTCGGCCAAGACTGGAGGCCCCGGGAACGCCAGGGGATTTGCTGGGGTCAGAGTTGGAGAGGCCATCGGGGGCCGAGCTCTGCGCCCCACAGCGCTTCCCGGCTGGCACAGGCGCAGGGCTGCCAGGTCGCGAGCACGCTGGGAAGCCGGGCCGTCGAAATTGGCGCTGTCATTTGCCTGCTTCCTGTGGCCCCCGAGGGCGGTAACCTCTGATTCCGGCGTGAGTGTGTCTGGGCGCCCGGCGTTGTTAGGCGTTGATAGGCGCCCAGGCTCGCAGCTCCGCTTCGCCCAGCCCGCAGCGGCACCCCAGCCAGGCGCTTCTGAGAGGCAGTTCCTTCTGTGTCCCGTCCTCACGTCTCTGCGGGGACCCCGCGCGCCGCCTCTCGGCCCCTGCGCCGGCCCGCCGAGGAGATTGGAGCTGATAAGCCGCTTTCCTGCTTTCCTCCCCCGGCCCCTCGAGGCAGGCTCTGCGCACCGCCCCGGCCCAAGGTCTCCCGCGAGCCTCACCTCGCGCCCCACTGCCCTTTCAACCGGGGAGACCAACTAAGCGGTCAGCTGGCCTTCAGATCCACAGACTCTGCCCCGCTGGCGGGGCAGCCGGGATCCGCCTTGAGCTGCTTAAGGGCTGGGAGATTACAGAGCAAAGACTTCAGCTCAGAGCCAGCACAGCCACCTGGGGCGTCCTGGAGGGGACACTGAGGCTGGCTTGTGTCCCCGATCCAGAGCAGGTGGACATGACCACATGCCAGCGGACTTCTCTGAACTGAGCAGAAATTGTTCTCCTGTCGCGTCAGGCGGGTCCAGGAGCCCAGAGACAGGACTAGGTCCATGTGGGGCTTGGGGAGTGAATGAGTGAATGACGCTTCTGCCTGGAGCCTCCGCCACCTGCCACCACCTGCTCAGCTTTAAGGGGGCAGTTTGGCTGCTTTTGGGGGTCTCTGCGGGAGCAGTTGTCTGAATCCTTCGGTGTCTTCCTTTGACTTCTGATTTTTCAAATCCTGTCCTCTTCAAGTTCCAAGATCAGGTTGCCAGGAGGCTCCATCCATGGGTGGCCACACCGGTGGGTTTGGGTGTCTAGTGATGGCTGGAGAACCGAGTGGGGAGAACCCGCAGAGCTGCAGGGCTGCCACGGGGATGTGGGTGCTTTCCTAAGAGCTTTTCCACGCCAGTGTGACAACTGGCTTGAAGCAGGCGGTTTGTGTGACTTCCCGCTGGTGGTTCTATGAGGAGGGGACCACAGCGCACCGCAGGCACACGCCCTCACCCCACCAGAGGCGGCACTGGGACTGCCACTCTGGGGGTGACCAAAGAACTACTTGCCTCTGGGTTTGGGGATGTGGGTGCTAGTGGGATTTGTAATAGATAAGAATCTATCAGCTCAGCATCTTGGGCCTGTTTTAGTGTTTTAAAGCTTCCGAGGCTGCTGATGGAATGAAGGGTATCGGGATGTTGGATCTGGTGTCCTTCTTGCTTCCACATTGTCCTCAGTTGTCCTGTAAAGGGAATCACTAGGAAGTTGAGCAAGAGCCCGTTAGCATCCTTGGTCCTTATCCCAGAGATGCCCAAGTTTAGGGCCAAGTGGCACGAGGGCGTCAAGACAGCCCAGCCGAAGCCAGCCATTCTCCGGGCAGCCCAGGCTGGAGCTGTGGCCAAGCCCAGCCAGTGGATGAAGGAGGCCTGTGTTCAGGGCACTGAGCTGGGAGAGACCAGGCAGGGAGGGTTGCCTGTCTTGTTTTCTTTGGCTGCAGGAATCCATGGGCGGCTTGAATGGGCAGGTTTATACTTTTCTTCTAGGCTGTTTTTTTGAATGAAAAATGACCACATATAAAAGGCGCATACACTAGCTGTTAGGAAATTCAAGTAGTGGATGAGTGTGGTTCGTTTTACTCTCCTCTGAAACAATTGCCACCACCATCTGCGTATACAATTCCGCATCCTTCTCACTACGTCAAGAACACATGTATGCACACTAATATTCTTAGCTTTATAAGTAGAACTGTGCTGTATGCTGCTACTGTTGGGCTGGTTGCTTTCCAGTTCAGTGATGCCCACCCACAAAAACTCAGTTAATTCTGTAGGACATAGTAGAACTACCCTTCAGGGTTCCTGTCGTTGTTGTTTGTTGTTGAGTTGAGTAGGACTCATCGTGACCCTACGAACAACCCATCTGAACTCTGTCCTATCCTGTGCCATCCTCAGTCTCTTACATACTCTACTCCATTGCTGCATGGTATCAATCCATCACCTAGTTGAAGGTCTCGCTCTTTCGCCAAGTGCCCACCTTTCCAAACATAATGTCCTGTCCAAGGAATAACCTCTCCTAGCAACATGGCCAAAGTATGTGAGATGAAGCTTTGTCATCTTTGCCTCCAAGGAGCACTCTGGCTGCACCTTCTCCAAGACATATCTGTTTGGTTTTTTCATAGTCCATGGAATATTCAGTGCTCTTCTCCAATATCACAACTCAAAGACATCAGTTCTTTTTCTGTCAACCCTCTGCACTGTCAGGTTCTCAGAGGGATAGCAAGCGATTGAAAAGACCGTGGCCTGAATCCGACACATCTTAGCCCTCAGACTAACATTATGTTCCTCAGTAATTTGGAAATATCCCTGACTATATAGGCTTGTCCAATGCAATATGTCTCCTAATCTCTTGACGTCTGGTACTGAAGCTAGAAAAAACATCGACAACTTCAATCTTTTCTCCACCTATCATGATGTTGCCTATCGGTCTTGTGGTGAGAATTTTTGTTTTCTTGATGTTGAGATGCAATCCATGTTGCTCTGATCTTCTAAAGCAAGTGTTTCAAGTCCTCTTCACTTTCAGCAAGCAAGGTGTGTCATCTGTCTAAGGCAGGTTGTTGATGGGTCTTCCTTCGATCCTGATGTCACATTCTTCTGCACGGAGCCAAGGTTCTCAAATGATTTGCTCAGCATACCTGGCTTTTCAGGCTGTAAATTTTTATGAGTC